CTTATTTTAAAAGACATATGTACTGGGTAACAATGATACAAATCATAATGGACTTTTCATCAGAAACAATATGAGGCCAGAAGAATCAGCCTTCAGGTGCCAAAAGGGGGCAAGAGTGGGGGGAGGGAGGAAGTCAACTTAGAATTCTGTATCCAGAGAGCATATTCTTTAAAAATGAACATGAAATAAAGACAGTTTCACATAAACAAATACTGAGACAGTTCATTGCTAAAGAACTGTACTACACGAAATACTAAAGACAGTTCTTTAGACTGAAGAGGAATGACTGTTGTTGATCAAGTCAATTCCAATTCATGGCGGCTTCATGTGTATAGAGCAGAACTGGCAGTCAAGTGCTTAACCGTTTATGTCACCCAGGAATTGAAGAAAAATGATACCCAGACAGAAAATGTATGAAGAGCACCAAACAAACAAACTCACTGCTGTCGAGTCGGTTCCGACTCATAGCAACCCCTTCTTGGGTTTCTGAGGTGGTATCTCTATGGAAGTTGATTGTCCAGAAGAGCACAGGAAATGGTAAATATATGATAAATACAAAAGACAACTTTTTATTCTCTTATTATCCTTTAAGGACAAATGACTGTTTTGTAAAAATGACAACATAATATGGAGTCCACAGTACATATAGAAATAAAATACATGGTACAATAGCACAAAAGAAGGAAAGTAAATGGAAGTATATACTATTTTAAAGGTTCTTACATTTTATACAAAGTGGTACAGCAATCTAAACAGACTGCCACAAACTGAGGGTTGGTATTATAAATGATAGAGAAAAGTCAAGAGAATAAATAAAATGGAACACACTAAAATAATCTGAAAGAAGACAGAAAGGAGGTACAGAGGAACCTCCTTTCTTGGTGAGGGTGGTGAGGGTAAGGAAAAGTAGGGAAGGGAGGATTTAATTCCCATTCAAAAATAGAAAGTCACAAGAGACATCATTCTCACTCTAACAGCTAAAACAAGTTGGATAAGCTACATAATCACAGTTTTTAAAACCCATCAGAGACTGGGGACACAAAGAAACTTAAATGAAATCCAAAAATTAACAAGCCCATTTTAAACAGAGGCACTCTCCAGCTGCTATCATCCTTAACTGAAACAGAGGGAGGACAAGGAATCTGCTATAGAGAAGAGTTAAAGAGAAAGAAGATAAACTGTTAAAGAGTTATGTGTGGACTGGCAAACCAGGTTAGAATCCAGAGGAGCCCCTGATAGAAAGACAGAGACTGTACTAACCACTTCCTCCCAACTCCTTCTCACAGGTCCACCAAAAATGGGGCAGGAAAGCTTTCAGCTAAGGAAGTCTGGAGGAATGGGGGCAGAGGAGGGAGTGTTAGGGAAAGGGAGAATAGGAAATGTCAAAGAGTAATCTCCCAGAGGCAATATTCACAGAATAAGGGGAAGCCATGGTCAACCCTCCACAGACAAAGAGAATCATAAAATGGTAAAACCACTTTGAAAATTGTTGGGCAATTTCTAATAAAGTCAAATATACATCTACCCTAGAAACCAGCACTCGGGAGTAGTCTTGAGTATTCACTCAAGAGAAATGAAAACATGTATCTTCTTACACAAGAATGTTTATACTAGCTTTATTTATAATGGCCCAAAGAGGAAATAAATACACATATTATATATTCATACAATGGAATACTACTCTACAATTAAAAAAAGAATGAGTAACTGACACATGCAACAGCATGGAAGCATCTCAAAAACATTATTTTGTATGAAAGACACCAGACACAGAGTATATACTATATGGTTCTATTTATATTAAGTTCAACAACAGATCAAATTAATCTATGGTGATAAAAATCAAAACTGTTTGCCTAGGGCAAGCAGACTGACCAAAAGAGTCATGAGGGAAGTCTCTGGAGTGATGGAAATGTTCTATGTCACATAAGACATCTGTACATAATAGACTGGGCTATTATTATGTAGAAGAGGTTATCAGTCAGATAGCAATGTGTGTTTACTGTCATCAATGGCAACAACAAGGTAGTTCCAATTTTTTTTTTTTTTTTAATTTAACTATAATTAGAAGAGTTTTTCACAAATGTGTCCTCAAACATTTGCTAGGGGGTGGGGGTGGGGGGAAACGATGGAAGTACCTAACTCCTTAACCATTCAAATCATAACATTAAAGATTACCACATAAAGATATATATAAATGAACCAAATAATTAGTAAGGCCTGGTCCACTGTTAAGGAGCTCTGCGAGTGTAGTGGTTATTTGGCTACTAACAAAAGTCAGTGGCTCAAAACCAACAGCTGCTCCATGGAAGAAAAATGAGGCAGTGTGCTTCCATAAAGATTTACAGCCTTGGAAACCCAACAGAGGTCGCTATGAGTCAGAATCGACTTGATGGCAGTGAGTTTGTTTTCTGGTGGTTGTTGTTGAGTCCACTGCTACTCATGGCAGCTGAACGAGAGAAAAATCTATAGCTGGCTCAATCAAAAGTTCTCATTCAAACCACATAGCTATTACTATATATAATTTTACTCAAAACAAGTAAAACCAAATGCCCAAACCCCACTGCCATTGAGTCAGTTTTGACTCATAGCAACCCTTTAGGACAGAGTAGAACTGCTCTATAAAGTTTTAAAGGCTGTAAATCTTTATGGAAGCAGACTACCACATCTGTCTCTCACAGAGCCACTGGTGGGCTCACACTGCTGACCTTTTGGCTAGCAACCAAAACTTTAACTTCTATGCTGCGAGAGCTCCTTTTAAAGCTAAATGCAGACAACAGAAATAAAGCTAGGAAAATAAAATCAGAAATAAATGCCTCAAATCTCTTGTGCAACAAGGTGAGAGATAAATAATACAAAAGTGGTCAGGAAACATATAATATTTACTGGTTATTAGGAAGTCAGGCAATGGTGTTAGAGGTATATCCTTAACCTCTGAGACTACATAATGGAATGAAATGACCACATTCTAAGATCACAAAATGTTCTTACATTACTGGAAAAGAGAATAATAGAATTCACAGAAAAGGTGTAACAGAGAACTGAATTTCTTATACATTCTTTAAAAGAATGTTAAGAGTTTACATATTTTATAAACAGTATTATATATTATATATAATAAATACACTATTATATCCATTCATGCTGATTGCACAAAATATCTTGTGTAAGTTTTATATATGAAAATATTATGAAAACTTAAAGTATGCCTTTACTGGTATATTTCTGAGGCAATATGTAAAAGATAATTTAATTTACTGAATATGTAAATTTGATGAAACTAGGATGATGAAACACCAGTTGAGCCAGAAACTTTAGTATAAAGTTAAGATCATATTCCTATATTGTCTTGAATGTTTTTATATAAACTATAGTTGGAAAAAGAATAACATACTCATTATATAAGATTAAAAATTATTTTTTAAGCAGCGTCACTACTGTAATTGTATCATTTTTGTAAGCAATGTTGGACCTATATACAAATGCAGGTACATAAAGTCTAAAAATGTATCAGTTACTACATTTCTACTAAAATATTTAGAAACTTTTGTACTTGGAAAAATCCTTAAGAGAAAGTATTATTTTTTAAAATCACAAAGAAATATAATAGATTTTTTCATTCACGGATTTAACAAGAACAGCTCATAATATCCTCATATGACTAAAGATTTATGACAGGTAGCAATTTGTAACCTTGAGTCACAAACTTCACTTAGACAAGCTAAAAGACTGGCTGGTGTTCACAAGAGTTACTAAGTAGAAATTATCCCAGATAATTGCCCTATATCTGTTATCTTTCTCTACTCATCCTTGAATACACAGTTACCTTTCATGTAATATCCAAAGCTCAAGTGTTTTTTTTTTTTTTAATCATACATCACCTTGTTTTGTGTGGGAAATGATACATGATACTGGAACTTGCAAACGTGTAGATTCACAAAGTAAGGACTCTGGATGCCCCTCATAAGAAACTCAAATGGTTTAAGGTGTATAGTTGAAGAGAATGCAGGATTTCAGTACTATTTAAAAAAAAAAAAAAAAAAAGAGAGAGAGAGAGAGTTCTGATGGCATAATGGATAAGGCATTTGGCTGCTAACAAGAAGATCAGCAGTTCAAACTGTTGCTCCATAGAAGGAAGATGAGGCAATCTACTTTTATAAAGATTTAGAGCCTTGAAAACCCATTGGGGTTCTCTATGAGCCACAATCAACTTGATGGCAGTTTTTTTTTTTTTTGGATTTTAAAAAAAAGAAAGTGCTGTCAATTTCAACTCATGGTGACTTGTGTCTCAGAGTAGAACTGTGCTCCACAGGTTTTTAGTGGCTCATTTTTCGGAAGTAGATTGCCTGCGTTATTCTTCTGAGATACCTCGGGGTGGACTCAAATCTCCAACCTTTTAATTAGCAGCCAAGTATGTTAACTTTGCACTACCCAGGGACTCCCAGTACTGTTTATGTGTACATCATAATCTAATGGTGTGTTCAGAAGGTAGAACTGATGATTAATTTTAGGACTCAAATTTAAATTCTGCTGCTAAATTCTAACATGACTTTTTATTAAATCAAAGTTAATGTACACCAGTGACTCCACTGGAGTATGAAAGAAAACACTGTATGTATCCCTTTTGATACTAAAATGAGTGCCTTCTGCAAAGCTCACTGAAATTCTCCTACCTTATACTCAAAACTGAATTGTTTTTTTTTTTTTTGGTCCAAATATTTTGGGCACTGATTCTAAGGGGACACTGATTCCAATGCACAATTGTAGTAACAATCGTAGCTCCAAAATATAAATGCCACTTTCTTATGTTTGCAGCAAAATAAAGACTCTTACGTTACATTTTACACACATTCCTCATTTCATCTTCAAACAAACAGGCAATCAAATTCTTACAAATACAAATACATCCACAGCCCAATGCCTGGGCACCCAGTGAGAAACCTGATAAAAATAGATTTGTAATAGACAAAAGACACTCATGTGCTATAGACTATGATTACCTGGAGGTAGGAATTGTAGTTGGTTATTAGCTAATCGAAGATGACGTAAAGCTCTCAGACGACCAATTTCTGGGCAAACAATTTCTAAGGCATTGTCACTAAGATCCAGACACTGGAGTTTTACAAGGGACCCAATGGCTTAAAAAACAAAACAAACAAACATACAAACAGCAAAAACAACATTAATTTGACCCAAGTGTTATGCCAAATACTTAATGCATATATTCCAAGTTAAATTTTTTTTATATTTAACATCCTTGTCTCCACTGCTTACAAGACAGTCAAAACAAAGACTGGACTAAATTTTATTTAAGAGTTAATATTTCTACCTCAAGATGACATATAACTTTAAAAGGAACACAAATAAAAAACATTAAAGAATATAAACAGCTACCTGAATAAATAATTCATGAAACAGTACAACAGGTACCTTACTACAATTTAAATTGAATTTATAAATTTAGAATGTTCCATCTTATTATTTACCTAAAACAATTTATCTAATAATTATTCATATAACCATTATAATGGTTTTCCATATTTAATCATCTTCCTTAACAGGACTTACAAATTAAGAAAACACAGTTCTGAAGCTAATACAAATTAAACACGCTTTGTAATTAAAATTCTCTACTACAAAAACCAAAACAGTTTGAAAGAGACAATTTGTTCTACTTATAAAGTGAAACTTTACTGTCTCTAAACTAAAAACTGGAAGGTCACTTACCTTCTGGAACCACAACTATGTTATTTGAATGAAGGTACCTGGGGAAAAATAAAAGAAAAACAGCTATGAGCATTCAGTACTTTTATTAAATAACCATTGTGCCAAGTTTCACTCAGAAATTCATCAGAAATAAAGGAATAAAAACTTTATTTTACATCCTGCTCTAATGCACTCACACAAAATCCTAACTAACTGATAATTCTTTGAGAATAATATTTTATGTAAAAATTGCAAATATTAAATCTACTTAAGTATTTGCTATTTTAAAAGACTGATCAATAGATAAATTATGAAGTACTTTTTTTAACCTCATAAAACAAATGACTAGTTTTTCTTGTTTGTTTTTAATTATTCAAGTTTTCAAAAATATGCCTATTATACAAAGTAAGATAAACTACTGCGAAAAGGGAGATGCAACCTTTAACTTCTAAAGGATAATCTGAGGGAATAATCAGATTTAAGGTATTTCCAGCCAGCATGCTTACGAATGGGGAAGATTATATAGGGTCTCATGACAGTAGGTTTGGTTTATAGACATACTCAATTGCCAAGGTACAGAATTATTCACAGCAAAAGGTAAGTGGTAAACAAGAAATCCAATTCTTTTAAAAAGAAAAGTTTACTGAGGCTGACAAGTTCAGGCAAGTCTAAGCAAACACCTGCCACAATGAAGTGTCTTTAGCACTCTCTGGCGGGGATCGGATGCAATTGTCATTAACCAACTATTCAGAGTGGAAATCAATGAAGTAACTTGGAGATCATTTAGAAATAATTTTTTAAAATTAATTTAAAAACAAGAAAACTAGATTTTGGTGCACTTCATTTGGAAATCTATAGTTTTATTTATTGAACCTAATCAATGTTCATAAAGTATTTTTTAAATATGAATTTGAAATATTTTCTATATTTATTTTTCCAAATGTTATGATATTATTGAACACAGATTCACAAAGTGAAAATTAATAATGTTACAAAGATTATTCAATGCTGAATTAAATCAATTTTATAGCAGGTAATTAACCGGCTGGATCTAACAATTTAACCAAGTACACAGTTCTCTGTATATTTTATTCTTTGCTTTGTGTACAAGAAATGATTTTAAAACCAATACTCTTTAAACATTAATTTTAGGAAGGAATACGTGTGTACTTTATTAGGTGACTCTAAAAATTCTTTGTGACACACACACTTGTATTTGTTACACAAAAGCCAGAGTGCTTAGATACCAGAATAAAGACACTGATCATTGAAAATAATTTTTTAAGCAAAATATTTGCCTATTCTCCCAACTCAAGTTTAACCTATAAAAAAGGACATGAAAACGTCCAAATCAAAATATGAACTAAAGTAACCACTATTATGAATTAAATTTAAAAAGTATATTTTAACACATTATATTATCTACATAATAATGAAGATACAGTATAAAGTTCTATGGAGTGTTTCCAGCCCTCACTTCACATTAGAATCACCCAGGGGCCTTTAAAATATGGATGCCCAAGACTGTCTCATGCCAAGTAATACACCTTTTCTTGAGGAGGAGTGTATTTTAGTTCTTCAGTATTTTTTCTTTTTCAACTCTCTAAGTTATTCTAATGTACAACCAACTAAGACTCATAACTTGTGTAGTGGATTAGACAGCAGGCTCTGGAGTCAGACTGCCTGCATGCCGATACCATGGGAACAGAAGAAAATTACTTAACCCCTTGGTTTCTTAATCTATAAATGAAGATAGGAGTAATTCCTACAACACAAGAATGTTGGATTGTAATGATTAAATGAATTAATAAATGCAAAGTATTTAGAAAAGTGCTTGGCACATAACAAGAGTTTAATCGATGCTTATTGCTATTGTTTTTATAGTTACTACCTTATGAGCATGACTCATTTGTAGTCACAGGCTTACGACTTTTAAGTGTAAGTCATTTCCCTTTACTTAATTTTTCTAATTCAGAATAGTTCAAATGTATTTCAATGATACTAGTTTTTATCAAACTCTTTTACTCAAATAAAGCAGAACTCTCATTAATTGCTGATGAGAATGAAAAATGGTATACTCACTTTGGAAGATGGTTTGGCAGTTTTTTATGCAGTTAAATATAGACTTATCACACAGCCCAGAAATCACACTCCTAAATATTTATACAAGTGATCTGAAAAGTTAGGTCCCCACATACATGAAAATATCTGTATCTAAATGTTTATTGTGGCTTTATTCATAATTGCTCAAAATGAAGGATAACCAAGATGTTCTTCAATAGTGGACTCTGGGGTGTGTGTGTGGTTGGAGGGAACTAGGGCTCATAAACAAGTTCAGCAAAGTTGCAAGACACCATATCAATATAGGAAAAGTAGATGAGGCTGAGCCTGGTTTTGAGTGTCTGAGCAGCTGGTTGTGTTACTCCCATGATGAGACTGGCAATCAATTCCAAGGTGGAATCTACTGGAGCAGCTGAGCAGCTGTTTTAGGGATGTGGTCTGCTTCCAGTATATAAGGAGAAACTTTGGGAATGGTCTGCATTTGGCACTCTTAAATCCTGCATGTAGCCGAGTCGTTATTCAGCATCTGCCATGCTGTGTGCTGATGTTGGGACTCTTAATGGACTTGAGTCAATGGCCAGCCGAGTGGTTTGGTAATATCAGGACTGTGCCTTTTTACTTCTCAACCTTGGGTTTGTCAGCCTCAGCAGCCAGCAGCTGCCTGAGTGAAGAAAGCTGTCAGCTTCAGTAGGCCAAGAACAAGAGGCAACACTGAAGCCCAAAGTTGAGGGGCTGGCTCACACCCTGCTCCTAGAGCCTGGCACTTTGAACTCAGACTTCTAGCCTCCAAAACTGTAAGAGAATAAACTCCCGATTGTTCAAGCTATCCCATTTGTAGTATTTTCTGTTAGAGTGGTACTAGTTAACCAAAAGACAGGAGGTAGCATAAGATCAAGAACTAATGGTACTGAAGGAAGAAGTCCAAGTTGGACGGAAGT